GTGGTCAACAGCCGTCCGGCTTGATGTGTTTCTGCCCTTAGACATAATAATTTCACACTGTCATGATGACAGTGTGTTTGAGATCAACATTCTTGTATGAACGATAAGCCAGTGTAGTTTTAGTGCTCATCACTGGTGGTAGTGATGAAGTAAAACAGAATAACCATCCAACTTTATAGATTAAGCATCACTCATTTACTGTTTTGTTTTTCAGCCTCACTCTCATCAGCAGCTTTTCAGGATCCAGCTATAGCTCTGATAAATTCACTGTATGCTTTCTACTCAGCACCAAACAGCAGACAAAGTTAGTGACAAGCTGGTGAACATAGAGGAGCATTTAACAGCTAAAACCATTTCCCTTAGGGCAGAGACCCACCAAGTCAAAGATCCGGCATCAGCCTTCGGTGAGCGTTTGTTGGGGCCCATCTTCCTGGTGTTGCCCACACTGTTGAATCGGAGAGGGTCTGTTGGGCCTTGTCAATGAGAGAGACCACTCTGATTGGCTGTTGAGCTTAGTGTATCAATGCACAAGAAGAGAATGGTTCAGGAGAGCCCTTTCAGCCTGTCGCTGTAGTATCCATGGTTTCACACATTTAGTGTATGTCTGTGCAGATTCTCAGTCATCCAGGTCATAGTAAACTGAAAAAACTTAGAAAAAATCAACTGGACTTAGATTTTTAGGTCGAAGACTGAGTCAAGTTTTGTTCTGTTTTGAGATCTCTTCCCAAACATGCCCACCAGGACAATAGGCGTCGGTCAACTAGGGAGGATTCAAAGACCGGTAACGACTCTCACCGATACTGGGCTGCAACGACTCAGTCGTTATGGGACGTTGTTGGCCTTCAAAAGGACTGAAACACCACCGAGGGGGATAAATATCTCCAGCTCCACACCAGTCAGTTAGAACTGATGAAGCCTCTTGGATGAGAGGTGAAACGTCTTCGACCTAGAAATCTAAGTCCAGTTGATTTTTTCTAAGTTTTTTCAGTTCACATTTAGTGTAGTTTTCTCCATGTTTTTCGGCTCCACAACCTCTTTCTTCTTCCACAATCAAAAGACCAAGGTCAGAGAACTACTTATCACACACATTCTTAGAAGCTGGTATAAACAGCAGCTGTTCTGAACAAGAGGTGCTTTGTTTATAGCTTATGTTTCCACGGTCTAGCTCTTCTTCTTTCCCTTTCTGAATGGTGAATACAGATACCACCACCTGCTGGTAGGGGGAGTTATTTTTGTCACACAGGTACAAAACCTATGTGCCAGTTGGCCACTGGCTGTAGTCTCAGCGATGTATTCAAGTATCATGTTTTCAACCCGACTGACCCAGACAAAGCCGCAGCAGTTGTCCTTCATTGGTGCTCGTTTCTTTCATGCTGGCTGAGTGTGTGTCTGCCCTGAGAGGTTAGTGGAGACCAGAACAGCTGATGGATGATTGGAGGCCGTCAAGTGGACAGAAAGGCAGCTTTAAATGAATGCTACACATACACTGTGCTGTGAATGTAAAGAGACAACTGTGCACATTCGTTTACAGCTTGAAGTCACCAGAAAAGGAAAAAAAATAGTCTGCTTTAAATTGTAAAGATTCAAATTTGAAATCCAAGAGTTTGGGTGGATCGAGTGGCATTTTCTTCACTACATATTTCTGCCATGTTTAGCAGACTTCCAACCATCTCAATATATCATTTCTTTTATTAGTCTTAAACCTTAACAACAATTAAAGCTTGCATTGAAGTAATGATAGTGAGTGTGCACAATACAAATCACTGTTATTGAACTGACTGGAAGTTCATTCTTGACCCTGAACACACCAGTCTTTGACACAGTAATCCCAGCTCTGTCTTCACGTACTATCTTATTCTGAATTTGAAAGTGGTCAATTGAAACTGCATTATTATTGTACATTAAACTAACTGAATTCTTCAGCCTGGACCACTTCATCAGAAGCAGCTTCTCCTGCTGTGCAATGTGTTGTCATACATGACTGGTTCAAATATGGCAAGAAGATCACTATGACTAAGCCATGCTAAAATATCGACTAGTGATATGAGTCAGACATACAGTACGCCTCCGTACAGATGTACTAGAGCTCTCACACAAAGCTCACCTGGTAGATTAAATATACTAAAGATAAATATACTTCAGCTCTATGTGCCCACTCTTTAGAAGCATATATTTTATATCCCTTTTCTCATCCAATCATTATTTGTACCACTGGTCCAGAGGGTTGCAGAGGGGTACACCCTGGACAGGTCTCCAGTCCATCACAAGGCTGACACATAGTGAGAAACAGCCACTCACCACCTACAGGCAGTTTAGAGTCCCCATTCAACCTAACCTGCAGGTCTCTGGAGAGTGGGGGGAAGTCAGAGACCCTGGAGAAAACCACAGGGAGAACATGCAAACTCCACACAGATAGGTGTGGCTGGCCGTGAGCTTTGACAAGAACATTCCTGGTCTGAGGTGACGGTACTAACCACTGCAGCATCACACCACCCCGCATTTTGTGATCCCTCAAATAAAATGTCCACTTGTGAACCAACATCACATGATCAGTTCAACCAAAATATACAGTGGGTACGGAAAGTATTCAGACCCCCTTAAATTTTTCACTCTTTGTTATATTGCAGCCATATGCTAAAATCAGAGGAGAGCCTTCAGGGGAGAAGAGCCTTTGTGAGAGAGGTACAGAAGAACCCAAAGATGACTGTGGCTGAGCTCCAGAGATGCAGTCGGGAGATGGGAGAAAGTTGTAGAAGGTCAACCATCACTGCAGCCCTCCACCAGTCGGGGCTTTATGTGGCCCGACGGAAGCCTCTCCTCAGTGCAAGACACATGAAAGCCCGCATAAAAACACCTGAAGGACTCCAAGATAGTGAGAAATAAGATTCTCTGGTCTGATGAGACCAAGATAGAGCTTTTTGGCCTTAATTCTAAGTGGTATGTGTGGAGAAAACCAGGCACTGCTCATCACCTGTCCAATACAGTCCCAACAGTGAAGCATGGTGGTGGCAGCATCATGCTATGGGGGTGTTTTTCAGCTGCAGGGACAGGACGACTGGTTGCAATCAAGGGAAGGATGAATGCGGCCAAGTACAGGGATATCCTGGACAAAAACCTTCTCCAGAGTGCTCAGGACCACAGACTGGTGTGCTGTGTGTACATTGAGGAAAAAAATGAACTTAAATGATTTTAGCATATGGCTGCAATATAACAAAAAGTGAAAAATTTAAGGGGATCTGAATATTTTCCATACCCACTGTGTGTATATATATATATATTATCCTCAGTAGTTTGAGCCTCATTATTCTCGTCACTATAACAAAACTCCTGATTGGCCCAAAACCTTGTGTGTGTGTGTGTGTGTGTATCCCATTGGTCAATAACTGATTGACTGAATGAAAACACTCTGAATTTGTGGATCGATTAACTGACAGTGGTTGCCATGGGCAACAGAGCAGGAGGTCAGAGGTCATGGTAAAAAAATTAACACTTCACAACAAGTACACAAATGTGCATCGTTACCACAGAACAAGTGAGGGACACATGAGAGAACCATGAGGAATGATCAGCACCGTTCATAAGAACTTCTAATGTAGGACTAACTGACTGGGAGAGCCTAGATCAGTGAATCCACAATTATTGATTTGATTTATTCTTTCAAGCATGTAAAGACAGTTGATATGTCAACACATAATTTTACACATATCCAACAAATGCTAATCCATTATCAATTTGCTTATACCTAGTACATTCTTGAACGGAGTAGGAAGAAGTTAGACTTATCCAGTCCTACCCCATGACATCATCTTACCATCATTGGTTTGCAAGCAGTAAATGATTCACTTCTACACACAAGCAAAGGGTCTGAATACTTATGACCATGTGATATTTCAGTTTTTCTTTTTTAATAAATCAGCAAAAATGTCAAATTCTGTGTTTTTCTGTCAATATGGGGTGCTGTGTGTACATTAATGAGGAAAAAAATGAACTTAAATGATTTTAGCACATGGCTGCAATATAACAGAGTGAAAAATTTAAGGGGGTCTGAATACTTTCCGTACCCACTGTAGCTTTTACTTCTAAGATGATTTTTACCACCTTGAAGAAGTGAACATATTCTTTATTTTAAAAGAAGCAACTAAATATTAGATAAAAGATAAATGATTTTTCCCCATTCTTCTTGTTCTTGTAAAGAGCTGCTCCACAGATTTTACATCAGGTTCTACTGGTTTTTTCCCATCATTCTCTTTGTTTCATTTGTCTTTCACAAGCTTGTAATGTTAGGAAACCTTGATTGAGTCCAAACCATTAAAATAAAATCCCCACCTGTGTTTTGACGATATAAATATACTGATGTACAATAATACTTGTGAATCCCCAAACTGATTTTACTGTTTTGAATGCCAAACAAGTAATTCCACCATTATCACCATGACTCCAACTTCACTGACACATTACGAACTGGAATTTTGTCAGGCAAAGTGTTCATTATTACAGATATATGGAAATGCGCCACTGGAATTTGGTTTAGAATGTCTTTTCATGCAGTTAGCTGATACTTATGGTCAACAGCAACGTGCTGTGCACTGAACTACAGCAGAATGCTACTGTACTCACAGCACAGTGAAAGGTCAGTGATGACTAAATGAAAGCAAGCCATATGACAGTGGTTGTGACATGTGGAAGGTGAGAGAGATGAACAGAGAGTGTAGTTTTTGTCAAAATCACACAAGCAAGGTACAGTTCCACGTTTGAAACAACAAGCATTTCCTCATTTCTAAGGCTAATCACAGGGCTCATCAGTGAATGTGTTTAAGGAAGTGAGATGTACTTAATACAAACACACAAGAGAAAAGGCCCACACATAAAACTCCCACTAATGGTAAACCCCCACATCCAGATAAAGATGACACATTACGATACGTCATTGTTAAGTCCCAAGGCAGGGCTTGGGGTCTTCCCCACAGACATGTATAAATGTGGAAGCAGGCAGAGGAAAGGTCCACACAGTAGAGACAACAGGCTGATACAGCTCCACTGAGACTTTAACCTACACGTTGAAGGAAAAACACACATTTCAGGATGGCTGCTCCTCGTCCTCCTCGTCTCGCTCTGTCTGTGTTTGTGCTGATGCTGGCTGTCGTCACTCTGAGTGAAGGTAAGAAGGAGCCTGATAGCAACGCTGCCAGTGAGCATGTGACAAAGGTGAAGGAATGTAATGTTATCTGTAAAAGCTTATGATTACAGCCATACATTTGACATTCAGTCCAGTTGAAATGGTGTGGTTGTTTGATGTGTGTGAAACTTAAACCTGCCAGCAGTTTGTGTAAGAACAGTATTTTTAGAGAAGAAACTAAAACAGGAACCAAAGAACAGCGTCTCAATAGGGATTCAACATAGTTCAATTTAACAAAGGTTTCATACTGTAAGCAGTATCGTTTCTATCAGTATCATTACAGAGCCCCTCCACACTCCACAGTATGACAGCTCTCTAACAGCTATTTCTGACCCTATAAACAAAGTTCCACTTTATATTGCATACAGACAATAACAATGGCTGTGTGTAATGTGAAAATGGTCTTTCTAATTGGCAAACCTTAACACTAAACGTACAGTTCCAGTTTTTAGTCTATTTTACTTATTTAGTACTGCTTTGCTTTTAAAAACCATTGTTTTACTGTTTCAGTTCACTCTCAGGAGCCTCACAGCAGTAGGTTTTACAGCTGCACTAATCAATGTTTTTATATCAAAGCTGGGTAAAATGAAAGGGCTCACTAACGATAATGATCGCACAGAGTTATTTGACTCTACAGTTTCCCTTGGCTCTACAGCGTAGCATCAATTCCAGTGTTCACTTTATTGCATTGTTGTGGCTTAGTAGCACACAACTTTACTGTCTGGATTCAGTATCACCAAGCAGGCATTGATTTAGCCTTGACAAACTGCACACTGATGACAGAGCTGTTGCTGACCAAACAGCTACAACAAATGGGAATATTGAACTTTTCTTCAGTATATGGTTATAAGGTTGAGTCCAAATGAATGCCAATGTTGTTCTGTGGCTTCTCTGTGGCTGTTTTCAAACCTAAGCAAGAAATTAAATTGTTTCTGTCAAACTTTAAGGAGAAAATCCACTCTAAAATATGTTTAGAATACTGAACAGCTTAATTTGTTACATTGAACCAGTGCCTGTTGAATCTAAACAGCATGGAGTCGGGTTTCCACGTCACAGTGGAAGAAGTGAGCACTGACAAGGGAGCCAATAAAGAAACAAGCAGATGTCTGTGAGTCTGTGTTTGCTGTAGTTGTTGGCAGGCTGTTCATTCCCACTTGTTTGTTTGTAGGTTTGCGTGGTCCTGGCCCAAAGAGATGCTGCTTTCGTTTCAATGAGACCCCGGTGCCTAAAGAAAGAGTGGCTGGGTACATCAGGACCAGCCAGCGGTGCCCTAACCCCGCAGTCTTGTAAGCACACAGTCTTAGAGAAACATATCAATGACATCATTGTATCTACACCTAAATGTACTGAGCCTGACTGTCCTGTTCATGTGTGCCTTCAGGCTGAACACGGTGGCACGTCGTCAGCTGTGTGCCAGACCTTCAGACGCTTGGGTGAAGGAGCTCATCAGCTACCTGGACTCCATTCCAGGACAGGCGTCCAACCTGTAACCATGGCAACACCGTGCCCACTATAAAAGCCTTCAGTGAACACAGTCTGGCCTTTTCAAACTATAACTTTTAATCCAAAAAGTGTTCTATATAAACATGTTATTCACCTCACTGTAACATCTGCAGGGGGGTGATCGTAAGCTAAAAAGCTCTTGGTCTGTCTATAAGTAAAGTATATACAAGGTCAGTACTAAATACTCTTATACTCTGAGACATATTCTTATACTAGATTCATTAGATGCATATGAGATGTGTTTACATGCATACCATGCCATATGTACATAATAATGTAAGTGTAACACAGCTATAAGATATAAGTGACATTTAATCCACATCCTTTTAACATTTTCAGCCTTTGTAGTTAAGAAACTTTTTTTTATCATATGGAGCAGTAGGAATATTTTTGCTCGACACAACACTCAACGTCTGACCGTCAGCACTGTGAAGTGGACTGTGGAACTGTGATTCGACTACAGAAACTATAGTCAATGTGTAAAAGAGCGATGCCTCCAACACCACACGGTGTCATCAGTAGAGTATAAGCTATGGGCTGCACCATTATTTCTGCACTGAACCACTGGGAGCATGTTGTCTTGTTTATTATATAATGTAAAGTGATATTATTGTTTTCAGTCATGTTTTAAACTTACTTGGATGGATTAGTAACCCAATTTGACAAAAATCTGAATTTTTTTGTATATGCTGAGGCTACAAATGTCATTCTCTGATTAAAGGAAGATAAAGTCAAAGTTTAACTGTGTGGTATTAATTATTTAGCAATTCACAGATGTTAGTTCCTTATTTAATATTACATTCACTAGTGTGTGTGTTAGGGTGCGCTCAAACACAGAGTGAGCGAGCAGATAAAAAGCGGACCCAGGTGGCTGGCTTCGGTGCAAGCAGTGAGGTTTATTTACAGTGAAGGTAGTGACATATATACAGGAGGAGTAATGAGGTAGATGACCGGGTGTCGATCAGCAGCAGCAGAAAAACAGTCAGTGGTATGGTGGATGATGATG